CACATGTATTGTCCTGACACATTGCTAGATGTCAATCTCGGACGGCGAGTGTGAATTGGTGATAAATTTAAGGGGTGTTTCAATTTATCAATTTTGATTAGATCAAAATAATATTTCACTTCGTTAGGAATCGCGATTCGGGAACCTGATGGGTCACACACAAAACGAGAACTGAAAGATTGTGATTTAAATTTTAATTAATTTAACAAGCATTGGATAATTTAATTAATTGGGTTGCTTAATTATAGGCTCGAGCTAATTAATTGGATTAATTAATTCACGGATCGAATTTAATTAAATAAGTTAATTAAATATTGGACCGGATCAGGTCAAGCTAGTTTGGGCTAATATAAATATGACTAGGGCTTTCAAAATCTGTAGAGATTCATTATTCTTGCCAGCATAAGAAGAAAACCCTAATCCTATAATCTTGTTCTCTGTGTGGATCACCGTTGGAAATTGGACAAATGAACAGTTGTGAGTGGCATATCATGGTTGCTGAAGCGAAAGAATAGCAAAAGAGTTTGCAGAATCAAAGCATGATTTTTTGCAAAGGAGTTTGTATAATCAATGAAAGGTACAATTTCTATCTAGACACCGAGGGATCATTGGTGGGAATTGAAAAATTGTTTTAATTTCCGCTGCGCATGATAAGTAGATTCCCAACATGTCCAACCTATTCATGCACATTCATATCATAAAATTCCTCAAGAATAAGAGATGAATTCACATCTTTTGAGAGAGAAGATCAAACTAGCAAGAAAATGAAGGCTAATTACATCAAGAACTTAAAGATTTCAAGCTTGAAATTTAAGATCAAAATCTTTTACATTCATTCATATTCTAGGTAACATCTATTTGTTATTTGTGTTGTAATTTACATAAATCATGCTAAGCTAGATCCTTGTTTGTATTTGACGAAGATGACTTATTTTGCTTATTTATTTTGGTTCAAGACAAGAAGTTTAGCAATTCTTATATTATAAGCATTATTATTTTGATAAATCTTGCATTGTCATTGAATAATTTAATTGTTTGACCATCAATTAGATAATTATTTGCTTGTAGTGCTGGAAAGTTTAAAATTAAGTTTAGAATGCTGCAAGGTAAACACACGGGCAATCGGTATTAAGAATAACAATATCACATGTGCAATGATCTAGATAATCATATAATTGAATGCGTTATATTTAATTGAACTCAAACTAGAAATTGATCGAGTCGTGTTTAGAATAGAATTAATTTATTTTGAAAAAAATTAAATATAATATACTTATCGACTGTCGAGTAAGCGTTAATAAAACTAGATTACATAATTGAGAATTGAAAAAGATAACAATAGAGGATTCTAAGTTCAATACAATCATCTGTTCATTTACACATATAAACGCATCTACATATTTAATAGAATAATCATATTGAAATCATCTCTTTTGTGTACATATTTCGGATTCAATACAAGACTAGTACATTGAAATTTGAATTTCTTTTTACCGTACTTTGCCAAAATCTCCTAGGAGGTCACCGAACTTCACTTCGTCCCTCAATGGTCACTGAACTTTGCAAAAAGCCCCTAGGAGGTCACTGAACTTGTTATGCATGGGGTCCCAATTTACAAAAGTGGAGTGACCTCTTGGGGAACTTCGACAAAGTTCAGTGACCATTTAGGGACGAAGTGAGGTTTGGTGACCTCCTAGGAGATTTTGGCAAAGTTCGGTGACCATTTGGAGGATTTCCTCAGTTTTTAGCATCATTGGTGGGGAATAAAGTATTTAATTTAAGTTTATTAGTATATATAGGATTTAATTTTTTTTATTTGTTTTAGGCTATTAATTACACACTTAATCTCTCTTGTTTGATTTTCACGTAATTTATACAAGATTATGAAGAAATCGAGCTCCTACCGTTGGATCTTGATATCAAGAGGACCTTCAAACAATGAAGAAGATAAAGAGAGAAGCAAAATAAATGGCAAAAAAATAAAATCAAATTCAGTTATCACGAGATCCACCAGTACAACCAATTTCACTAAGAGCATTTGCCAACGATAGCAAAATATTACTATGTGATTATATGATTCTCACTTCAGCTGCTATGCAACAGGCTATTATTTATCCACCTTTTAGGCAGGCCAACTTTTACATTTGATCGGATGTCATTAACTTATTTCAAAATCATCAATACATAAGGTTCTCTGGAAAACCAACTGAAAATCTCCATGAGCTCATTCAAGCTTGATGCTTTGAGAAATAATTAGTCACGAAGGTATGTCAGATGCTTTTTGAATGCACCTTTTCTCTAATTCTTTGGAGGACAGCGCAAGAGAATGACTATGCTCGCTACTTCTTGGGAGTATCATTTTGTAGAATGACATGGTATAGAAATTCACTATGAAATTCTTCTTGCCTTCTAGAGTCTATCAAATCAGAAATAAACTCCACATTTTCAAGCAAAAGGGCTTCGAGATCTAACCAGGAGCATGGGATGTGTTTAATGACTGCTTTAGAAAGTGTTTGAATCTAGACATTCCTAAAATATCCAGGTCTACATCTTTTATTTCGACTTGTATCTTGAATACCGTAACATGGTTGACACTTCAACATGAGGATCGATAATGACTATGCCCGTAAAGAACTTCTTGGATCTCTGTACAATAATTATAAAAAATTAATCTATGTTGCTAACTTAAGGGAAAACTTCGATGAAAATGGTGGGTATTCACAATATAGATGCAGTAAAAGCATTGGCAGCCCCAAATGTAATTACTAACGAAGAAGTTTGACATCCTAACTCAAAATGTGAACATGGTACATCGATCAGCACCAATCTATGAAGGGCTACAGAAATGATCATTCAAGTGCAAGCTGTCCTTTAGACTTCATATACGTTTACCAGTCCAATGAGGTTAGTTATGGACAAAATTCTTAAAGGCAATAGAACAACCTTTACTCCCACACATATAATCCAAGTTGGAAGAATCATTTTAACTTTTCATGGACAAATAATCAAGGTCAGGAAAACAAGATTCTGGGTAACATCACCAATATTTTTAGAACAACAAGAGAAAAAGATATCTTTAGGAGATCTAATGATTCAGTACATTACAAAGATTGAGACTAATTTTAGAACTAGTAGGTAGTAATTAGAAATTAGGAAACTCAAGTGGGCCAACAATTTCATTTGTGTGCATCCGTGTATTGTTAGGTAGTCAGATTCAAAATAATAACCAATCATTGTTCTTCGTTTATTTTCATCAAATAGAAGTTAGAAATAATAAATTAAGTACTATAGTATAGTCCTCATTGGAACGATAATCCGGACTTAAAAGATCTACTTTACTATTTGTTATGATCCGTACACTTGCCGGCTATAAAATCGATAACAAGTTTTTGACACCGTTGCCTGGGGCATTTCTTTTAATCTTAATTTGTTTTATTTTCAACTACTATTTGATTTGTTTCCTTTCTTTTATTTACAGAAAAAAGGTGTTCGTTGTATGCTCCATACCCAAGAAAAGATCTTGAACCGCTTGATTCGAAGATAGAACGTATCTTCAGACAAAGATACAAGGACACAAACAAAAACAGCAACATCAAATGGCCGACAATCAAAACAATCCTATTCCTATACTGCCAATTGGACAAATGGCCATAAGAGAACAACAGCAAAAGCAAGGATAAATAAATGAAGGAGGTTTGCCAATTTCAATGTTCTTGATGCCTATAACAGCAACCACACGTTCTAGTAAAGTGTATCTAGATTTTAGGGTAAACAATTTTCAGATAAGAGTAGATTGGATCAATTTAATGAGCAATACTCTCCAGTTCTACGGGCTACCACATGAGAATCCGAACATACATATTTCAAGATTTCTCAGGAATTGTCAGAATTGTCATTCTCCAGGGGTTTATAAAGACACTATCAAGCTGCGGCTATTTCCATATACATTGCGAGATGCCGCATTGGAGTGGTTAGATGCCTAACCTCATGGAAGCATTACTACATGGGAAGAACTGACTAGAAAATTCTGCAACAAATTCTTTCCATCGGCTAAAGTAGCAAAAATCAGATTGGAAATTCAAACCTTCCAACAGAGAGATGGAGAGAGCTGTCTTGAGCCATAGAACAGGTTCAAGGAGCTAATGAGAAAGTATCCATATCATGGGATCACCGTTGGAAATCAAGTGCAATATTTCTACACCTGACTTCTAGCACTGTCCAAATCTCAAGTGGATTCCTTGGCAGGGGGATCGATCATTGGGAAATCAATATAATAATGTATGAATAAGTTCGATTTAATTACCACTGCACATTCAATGTTCCTATCAGAAAGAGTGGTACCACCGAAGGTAGCTGGAATGTATAAATTAGACAGTTTGATTACCACAAATTCATAGATTACTGAATTGGCAAAGCAGGTGGAATTATTTGTAAAATTACAAACACGTGAAACAAATGCAGTGATGGCCAGTTTAGCTTGTGAGAATTGTTGGAGGAACAACTCTAAAGAAAATTGTTTGATGCTTGTTTCGTTGGAGGAACAAGTAAATTTTATTCAAAATGGCTCCTGTAATGTCAACTCATATGGGAACAATTTCTAGCAAGAGAGAAGACCAAGTTTAGGGACATGTTTTAGCAATATGTACAGAAGACGGATAAGGTGTTATAGCAAATTGGCACAACAAACTTTCAAAATTAGCAATCATCTATCTAGAAACTGGAGAACTTATTGAACGCCCACAAGGGATATTGCCAGATAATACAATGATAAATCTTAAGGAACAAGCGATGGCAATTAGAGTAGTGGAGGACGATCTACCCAGGGCCTCCATGAAAGTTAAAGCATATGCATCCCTACTTCGTTATCCTAAAGACCGTGTAAGAGGTCAATAGAGCAATACATTCATGTTATAACTATAAAGAGTGAGGTACAATTGTAAGAGATTACTAGAAGGAAATCAGAAAGGAAAGATGACTAGAAAGTGATTGATAAAGTTACAATGGTAGAAAAATCTGCACCAACTTCTACTGAAAATGAAGAAAGTGTAGAAATATCTACTACCAAAGCACCAAGTCTAGTCAAGGCGTACATGCCTCTCATTCATTTTCCTCAAAGGCTTAAGAAGAATAGACAAGACATAAATTACGAAAATTTTCTCACTATTCTCAAGGAGCTCCAGATCAATATTCCGTTCATTGATGTGATATTAGAATTTCCAAGTTACGCGAGATTTTTGAAAAAGATGTTCACAAAGAAAAGAAAGTTTCTAGAGTTTGAAACTGTGCCATTAGCTAAGGAAAGTAATGCAAGAGTGCAAAATAAATCGCCTCCAAAATTGAAAGATCTAGGGAGTTTTACTCTACCAATTTCAATTGGAAATTCCAGTTCTGTTAATGCATTATGCGACATAGGTGCTAGTATAAATCCGTTGTAATATTAAATAGGAAATTAGGACTGGATAAAGTCAAACCAACATCAATAACATTGTAACTAGCTGAGAACAATTTCAAGGCCATGTGGCAAAGTTGAGAGTGTACTCATAAAAGTAGGAAATTTAATATTTCCTGCGGACTTCATTGTGATGGACATACCAGAAGATCGAGACATTCTAGTTATATTGGGTTGGTCATTCTTAGCAACGGGACGAACCTTGATTGACATGGAGAAGGGTGAGCTAATATTAAGGGTGGAAGACAAACAAGAGATAGTCAATATTTACACCTACTATAAGCTACATCCCAACATCAGAAGTTGTTGTAGATTTGATTAAGAAGAGTCATTGATCAACGAAGCTAAGTTTGATGGACTTATTGGTAGAGATAAAAATGAAAATATCAAAATTTGCAGAGCAAAAAAAAAAGGCTGGATAAATGAAAATTGTACAAAATGCAAGGATACAATAACTTGGTTTGAGCCACCATGATCAATTAACGCAAAAGTAAAGCTAATGACTTTAAAGCAGCGCTTATTGGAAGGCGACACAAGCTTTATTTATTTATTTTATTTTATTTTCAATTTATAGGATAATTTAGTTTATTTATTAGTCTATTTAGAAGTCATCACCCATATTCCATTTACCCTTAGGTCATTGAGCAATTAAATTGGTTATTAGATGTTTGAGTTAAGTAAACCTTATTCCATGTATCTAATATTTCAAATTTGATTTTTTAGGGACATGACTAAGTGGAGCACTCAAACCAAAATTGACAAGGAGAACACAAGATAAATCTGAAGTTTGGGAGATAATGTAGAAGAAGATTCAATCAAATTCAACACCAAGGCACCCCAACACATAGGCAATATTGACATTTCAAGGAAGCCTCATCCTTTTCCTTTAAATTTCACATTGAGGACAATATTTAGTTTAAGTTTGGGGGCATATTATTAATTGCCTACCTAATTTTTTGTGTGAGTTAGATATTTTGGCTAGCAATGATGATTTACTTTGAGATTTGGTTTTGACTTATGAACGGTGGATATGATACATGCTAGATTGATTGATGCTTAAACTTGCAAAACTTGTTATTATGTGTGCACTAGAATTGAGTTTGACACTGTAATGAAACAAATTGATTCATTTGTTTGATAGGTTAATTTAATTGGACATAGATACTTTACGTAAAATATATTAAATTATTTACCCTTAGACCAAATTTAGCACAGTTTGGAGATAATTTTACAGTTGTAGGAAGATGCGGAAGTGAATGTGGATTCCATGTGTGAAAACTTATGCGTGGATTGTTTTACACTAACACGATAAAACTAGGCAAAAGTCTTAAGTTGAACGTCAGTCAGTTTGTGTGCATCCACGTATTGTTAGATAGTTAGATTCAAAATCATAATCAATCATTGTTCTTGTTTATTATCATCGAAGAGAAGTTAGAAATAATAAATTGGGTATTAAAGTATAGTCCTCCTGGGAACGATAATCCGAACTTAAAAGATACACTTTGCTACTTGTTACAATTCGTACACTTGTAGGATAAAAAATTGACAACATTCTTCATTAGATTATTCTCCATGCTGGCCATGAAAGTAGTATACATAGCAGTATGGACATGCTGGGCGTCTTAAGCTGTCGGGTTTACTATGGCAGCTAGCAGAATCCTTACCAGTTCTCTTCCCATCCAGAAGTAAATTCCAGAATTCGACTTTCAAAATGAAATCTTATCACTATGTATTCATTCATGGTAAAACTATTAGCAATAGATAACTATTAAAAACTGTAAATAGAAAATGAAAGTTTTACCAGATTCATGTTCTTTCTTCAAGGCAGCTACCATGAATAATGCTATTCCAACAAAGAATAAAAATAGCATTATCAATGTATTCTGCAGGTGCAAGTTCCACCCATCTTTTGACAACAGCTACATTCCATGTCGTGTCGCACAAGTGTAATGGTATCTAAAATAAGAATAATGCCTTACGTAAAGGAAGCTTTTCACAGAATAGGTACAAGATTTTTAAAAAATATGAGCTAGCAATTCTTTAGTTTAATTTAAGTAGAAAATATGTAGTCTTCTCCAAAAAAAACCCACGAGTGGTCGTAAGCACCAAACCCAAGCATTCACCGTCACCATCAATCGACACTGACCGCACACCTGCACCATTGACTGACGTCGGTCGTACACTGGCACCACTTGCACTCCTAAACCCATTTCATTTCACCTTACAATTCTTTGCAAATTGAGAAGAAATCCATCGAGTGGAAGAAGACTATAATGTCTTGAGACAAGAAAAGATGAAGAGATGGTTGCTGATGGCTATGATTGATTGGCATGATTTTTTGTTTTGTTTTTGAGACTATAGACTTTGTAGATGACAAGGACAAGGGTACTCTCTCCAATGACACTTGAGGAAGTTATAAGGATGAGCAAGATGTCGACTATGGAAGAAGAACAAGAAGAAATTGTTGAGCCTGTAAAGGAAGTAGAAATGGAGATTGTCCACTATGATGATTCAGCTTGTTGATTAATTAAAACCTATCAATGTGTTGATATATTGGTATTTGGTGGTGTACTGAGCCTTTTAGTGTATCTGAATTTTCTTGGCCAACTTGCTAAAATTAATGTATTGGTTATTGCTTTGATTTGCATTCCCTAATGTTTATAAACAAATGTTTATGTATTGATGAAGTCATTTACTCATCTTTTGTGAAGATTGCCTTGATTTTTTCACCAAATTGAGCTGAAAAATTTCTTTCAACGCTATGTTGTTTTTGTTGAAGCTTTTCACCATTTTAAGCATAAGGTGTTGGGTGCGTGAAAACTAGAACGCAAAACATCTTGACATTCTAATTGAATTAAATTTCTTAACATGAATGCACATTACATCCATTATACATTCTACAGAATCGAAGTTGGTCAGATCAAGAAATTGAACAACCATCTCAGTTAAACAACACAATCGAAGTACTAATTTGAAGTTTAATTCAATGATTCTGCTTATTCAATTCAACCCGTAGATGACAATCCTTTCACGACCATTCTTTGACCAAGCTAAGAACTGGTGAAAGCATACCTAATCTTTGTATGTAACAACCCACAAAACCACACCGACCTACACTTCCACATATTTTGAAAATCATCTTTGAACTATTAAAATCACCCTTAATAGAAAAAAGAAGAAGTAGAAGAAGAGATTTCCGAAATTGCTTTCGAATGATCCATCCATTTGCATGACAACGACTCCTTGCTCGACGTTCTGAAATCAAATGGATGCTATTTCTTCACGCTTCAGCTTGACTCTTTAAGTGGTCAACAATGGCGGGTAGGAGTTTCGACCAACTGTGTTTCTGGATTTGGGGATTAAGGTTTACAATATCACTATGCGTGAGAGAATTGTAGTTGGATTTCGTGTTTTGGTGGGCCTTCATGATTACATTGTGGCCGAACATCAATGCTGGTCGGGTAGTCAGAAGTTGGCCGGAGATGGAGAAAAGTGAGTGATGGGCTTCTCTGCCAGGTTTTTGGAGGAAAATAGAAAGAAAAGAAAGAATTGGCCAAGTCTTTCTCGATTTTCTTTCCTTTACTATTTACCCTTTTTTTCCCCTGAGCCGCATCATTTTTTTGAATTCCTATACATGTTCTATGACTTCTTTCCTATACGTATGGCATTATTGCTAAAATAAAAGAGGATTTGTCATGTGGCAGTCATTAGAGAAGACTCACAATACAACATGCTGGATGTTTATACAATAAAAAGTTATAAGACATGTATCTACATGGCAACCACATCACTAAATGTGACTGTTGTCGTCTTTTTCGGTTCAAAGAAAGAGATGTGCTCTATGAATTCCCATTATATCTTTTCTCACAAATCATGTTAATAGGCTTGTCTTCCAAAGCTTTCTTATCTTTGAGCCTTTTAACATGGAAATAACTACCAAATCTGACATGCTCTGCTAATTTCTTGTACAGTGAGATGCTTGATCAATCGGGGCTTGAAATAAAACAGAAACATGATTATAAAATAAATGATCGTAAAATATATGGCCAATTTCTACAAGTCCATAAAATACAAAGGAGCTATAATTCTACATAATTATGAAATAGATAGTAATACAAATATATGAACTGCACTTAACAGCATTCCTCATTAAGAATGGGGCTTAAATAGGAGCTATATTAGTTATTCATCATTACACTTCAATCCATCTGAAACGATTGAATATGTAAAAGTCAAGACTCATCCAAGGCAAAAATAGCTTAATTAAGAAATCAGACTTATCCATACAAATGCTAACTTCTTTTTGATTTCAGAACCAGTGACACACTCTTAAATAGCTTCAATATCACCTCTATACATTTCAACAATAGTGATCTTATAACAGATAAATTGTGTTGGACTCGAAAGAATCGTAATGAACGAGATTAAGGATGCGATATGAAGTAACGAAGATCGTAATGAGGAAACAAGATTTAAAAGTAAAGAAATTAAAAAAAATAATAATTAAAGAGGCATGACGTTTTATTAATCGACAATATGGAGAGAAATACAAGAACTCAACAGTTTTTGCTTGAATAAAATTGAACGAGGAGACCCCTATTCATAGTTACATGGCATACCATAAGGATGGAAATAATGTGGAATAACGAAATAATATGTTTCAACAAAAATCACGTAAAATATAAGGAATTTTTTTTCCTACATGAACATAAAGAAATTATATATTTTTTTCCACGTGCAAATAAGGAAACAATTTATTTAAAAAAAATTTCACCCTAATTTGGGTTACAAACCTAACAATCTTCACTTTGACCCAAATTTCGGTAAAACAAACAAAACTCGAAGATTTCAAATTTGTTTGCATCGAAATGTCAACCTATAGGGTTTATCGTTTTTCTAGTTTCTTCTCTAGCTGAGTGTGAGAGATTACCTTTTGATTTACCAGAATCGGTATATTAATACCGATTCGATCCGAGCTCTTGGAATTGGAATAAGTTCGGCAACGAATCCTAGAGAATCTCCTAATTTTTCCAGAGCAACTAGAAAGAGATTCTTTAACTAGAAAGAATTCGGTTCAAATGTAACCAATCTCCTCAACATAGTAACCAAAACTCTCCAAACTAAAACCATGTTCCTCTACAAGGAGTCCACAAGCGGCACTTGAACCTTACTCCTGGGTTTCCAAAATTCCATCAAGGAATTACTGTTGACCAAACCACGTGCTTGATCATAAGCTTTCTTGTCAAAAATATCACCTTCAATGATCCCTAAAGCATCACAGACATCAATAACACCATAGTACCTACACTCCATGAGTCCACC